TTAAGATCTTTATTTACACATTTTGTTCAGAAGTTGGACTGGACATTCTGAGGCCTCTTAGACTTTACAGCTTCTGTCACCAAGAAAATGTGTAAATAAGGATATGAGCTTTGATTTTTTTTTTTTTTGTTTAAGGGTGTTAACTTTGTTAGTTTCTAAATAAAGATATTAACTTTCAATTTTTTCTATTTAAGAATATCAACTTTCATTATTTCAATTAAAAAATCCATTTGTCATGTTAGTATTATCATCCAATTAATCCTTAAATAAGAAAAATTAAAAGTTGATATCCTTAAATATAAAAAGTTGAAAGTTAATATCCTTAAATAAAAAAAATTAAAAGTTAATATCCTTGTTTAAAAACTAACAAAGTTAATATCCTTAAATAGAAAAAATCTAAAATTCACATCCTTATATACCTGCTTTCTCGTCTGTCACCTATTTATTAATTCATCTCCTCTTATTACCAAGAAAAAAAAAAGATTCTGTCACCTATATTTCCCTATCAACAAAAAGATCAGATAGATGTTTACCTTTTAATAGCTCCATAACCATGACTTCCCACAACCAGTATAGAGGCATGATGTTTTTCTACAGCCTCGCAAAGCACATTCCTAGCATCACCCTCATGCACTTCAACTGTAACATCAGTCACCTGTATCATAAATGAAACTTAAGAATCAGAAAAGCAGGTGTGACATTTGATGATTACCTGCAATTCAATTCAATTCAATTCAATTGGAGTTACCCTGTTAACAGTTTATGCAGTTATACCCCAGCATATCATACTACCACCCCACATATCTAGTCTAAGCGTTTAGCTCAAAAAAATATCCATTACCCTTTCATTTATATGCTAGTCTACATCACAGTACGTAAGGCAACTTCTGCTCTTTTTTTCCCTTCTTGGTACTCAGATGAGGGGCTATAAAAACTCGAGATCTCTAAATAGAAATTCAAGCTCTTAACGACGTACCCAAAGAAGGCAACTTGTGCTGATTATCACTAAGCTTAAATCACTTTACTTCAGATAACACCCAAATTCAAATGAATTACCAATTTTTTAGAGCACAATTCCTTGGCCTTCTCTACAATTCTTGCCGCCGACCTCTTCAAATCGGATTGTGCTATCGTAAGAACCTCAGCAGCTCCTGCGATAAAAAAGAACAAAATTAAATAGAATCAATCAACCAACTGAAAAAAAAAAAAAAAGGTAGGGAAATGGAAAACCACAAATCTACATATACCTGGTCCGACGAAAGCGATGGCAGAAGTAGGAGAAGGTTTGGCGTGAACGATGACGAGCTTGAATGGAGAGTTGGCTCCGAGAGGAACAAAGAAGTGATTGATCGTCCACCCCAGCGCGTACATGCTGGGCTCGCTGTCGTCGATCCCGACGATCATCACTTGCTTCTCCGCCGTCGCCATTGCAGCTCAAAACTGTTGCTCTGCTCGAATTCGGAAATCGGAATGCTAGTTCTGACTTTCTGGTGATTTTGATCGCATCTCTATCTTGAAGGAACAGGAAACCCGGTGGCTAATCCATACGTTTAGCCCCTTACCTTATAAGTTTGAAGCTTTTAATCCCCATCTTATAATATTATGAAATTTTTAGTCTTAAATTTAAAGGTTCTAAAAATTTTAGTTCCATATCTAACGGAATCGGTTAACTTTTCGTTAAAATAAAAATAAAGTATTTATAATAATGGTCTTTAAAAGTTAAAAATATAATAATTTAATTTTAAAATTTAAAAATTTAAAAAAATTAGTAAATTAAAAAAAATTAATAAATGAATTTTTTACATATAATAGAATAGTATTAAATATCTATAAAAAATTGAGTGGTTAGTTCAATTTAAAGAAAGAATTCTAACTAAAATTAAATAAAATTTTTTAACTAAATTAAGATAAAATTTTTAAGAAATTAAAAGAATATAGTTAAAAAATTTTCTTTAATCTTAGTCAAATTTTTTTTCTTTTAATTGAGCTAATAACTCAATTTTATTTTAGATATCTAATATTATTCTTATGTATATAGCAAAGACATTCATTAATTATTTTAATTTACTAATTTTTTTTTAATTTTTAAAGTTTTGAAACTAAATTAGTACATTTTTAATTTTTGAGAACTAATCCTATAAATATTCTATTCTCGGAGAGTTAATAGATTTTATTTCAAGGGCTTGAAATCTTCAAACTTTTAAATTTAAGGTTAAAAACTTCATAGTATAGCGTGAGGAGTTAAAAGGTTCAAACTTAATAAGGTAAGGGACCAATTATGTATTTTAGCCAACCCAGTGTCCTAGTGCTACACGATGGGCTTTTTCATTGTATTAGGCTCCCACTAGGTTGTGTGACCCAACCCAATCATAATTTATGGGCTTTTGAATTTTATCGAGTGGGTGTACTGTGTAAGTATTGGTTTGGTTTGGTTTGACACAACCATTGGGATACTGGATCAGTTATGAACAAGAAACAAAGTGCAAGCCCTAACTTTCTGAAACTTCAATTCAACTATGCTAAAACCTTCTATTTGTATTTTATATATTATTTTTTAATGGTTAACACTCTTTTGTATTTTTACTTTGGTCAACATTTTTTATAATTTGAAATTCGTAAAAAACCTCAAATTACCAACAAAGTAAGGGGTGCAAATTAGGAATTTAACTGCTAATTTTTAGGTTTTTTTTTTATAGGTTTTAAATTATAAAATGTGTTGATTGATAATAAAAATTCTTAAGAGTGTTGACTGCAGAAAAAAATAATATGTAGGGTGCAAGGAGTTTGGCCAATTCAATTATGAGTACATTAATTGGCAAAAAAAATTCATAAATACATTTAAAACATGTCACACTACTCAGAATTGACATATTAAGAATTTAAGTAATTTAATAATAATCTCTTTTTAATAAAAATAAAAGGTTGTAAATTTGATTTGCATTGCATGTGAGTAAAATGGGTTAAATATACAATTTTAAATCAAAAGAAAAAGAATATGTTAAATAAGGATTGAAAGTTGATAAATCAATAATGTTAAGAGTTGAAACTATGATTATGCAAGATGTTACAAATTCAGGTGGTATCTAGCCAACCCGACCAAACCAATGGTTCTCATTAGTATAAAATGAATCAATGCATCCCACAGCACACTCCACTAAATGATGTTGAAAATAATAATGAAGGAATAATATAATCGCACTTTCTGCTATGCTTTTGTGATGCAAGTTATGGCATCGTGTGCTCGACAAAATATGGTGGCTCTCCCCACTCCAAGAATAAAAAACAGTTATCACCTTCCATGGTGGCGAAAGATTCGCTGTTGGTGGATTGGATTGTCAACCACCTAACGTAAAGGGGGAATATATTAGATTAGTGAAGGCCTTTTCTGCTTTGTTATCTACACCTCATCAAATCAATTTTAAGCACACGGTTTCGTCACGACTAAGATAAAATATAGAAATAATCAATGATTTAAGTAATTTAATAGTAATTTTTTTTATTGTAAGTAAGAAATTCTGAATTCGAGTTGGATGGTATGCGGGTGAAGTAAGATAAGAGATAAAAAAAAATTACATCTCACTGTGTATCCAACATAAACAAAAAAAAAAAGAAGATAAAATATAGAAATAATTTAGGGATATTACTTTTTAGTAATTTTTTTATATAACCTTATGTATTATTACATTATCAATTCTTTTTGTTTTATTAAAACGTGTAATATACATATATGCATTTATTAATTTAATAATACGTAAAAATTATAAATAAGAATTATACAAATAAATTATCTATATATTATTATCAATAAAATATATGCAAAATAACAAAAAAAAACATAAATTTAAGGTATCAGGAGCCCATTCAAAAGGGACTATAAAAATGGATTTTAAAAACTAAAAATAAGTTTTCTTAAATATACAAAAAAAAATCTTTTTTTATTAGTACAAAGATCAAAATGGTGTTTAAACTTTTTTTGCTTAAGCGTCAATATGATGGAGATACCAAAACTCATTTCATTGGGCAGTACCGAACACATTTTAATTTCCACCAACAAATTAAGTGAGTTGTGATATAGGTCCACTGAAAGTTTAGGATAAAATATTGAACTAATTTCTTTTCTTTTCTTCATTAATGAAATGACTGCATGGGTACTTAGTCCTTCGGGTCAAGTGGTCTTTGAATCACCTTAAAGGTGCAGTTTCCTTTCCCATAGTGAGTTTGAAATTCGAATCACACTTTTGTCATTTTGTTAAAAAAAAAAAATGAAATGACTGCATGGTCTACATTAAAGATGAGTTTGATTGGCAAGTTTTTATGATCATTCTTTTTACTTTTGGATAAAGTAATGGAATGTATTGTTTCTCAATGAACCAAATCGTTACAAAATGTTCTTGGAAGAGTGCCAAACCAAACACCCTCCAATGGGGGAGAAGGGGACTGCCGGACTGCAAATGTGCTAACTGTGCTTAAAAAAAAAAAAAATCATTCTTGATTGCCAATGCTATGCAGATAAACATGTATTAATGAAATTTGCCTAAAAGAAAAAGCGAAATTGAAGGAAAATTGTCGATGGAGGTTTAAGGTCAAATTAATGATGTCATGAAATTGAACAAAAATTGAGTTCGATTTGGTGGCATAGGACATATTGAGCCCTACTCCTAGGTGTCCAACTAGAAACCTTTTCCAAGATAAGCATGAAAATACTGTAACACTACAAATTTTAATACGTCAAGTTTGTCAGTAATGACTACTTTTCAAATAATTTTCTCATCGTGTCAATATTTAAAAATTTGAATTCTTATATTTCAAAATTTATATTTAAATTTTAAAATAAATTATAAATAATTTATGAAAAAAAATTATAAAAGAATATTTTTAATTATATAATTTATCATAATATGTTAAAAATTTTAACTTTGAAATAATTGTCAGAATTAATCCTTGCTAGATAGAAAGGCAGGGAAGAAAAATTAATAAAAATTATTATATTTTATTTATAATACTTTTTAAAAATAAATAATAAAATAATTTTCAATTATAATTACAATATAATAAAAATTCAATATAAT